TACAAAGACTGGATATTGATGGATGGCAATCCTTAAATGTGGTCTTTGTCTGAAACAATTGAAATTTCTAGAATGGGAGAGTCAGCTGCTGAACATTCACATGAAAATTAAGTTTCGTTTTATCATTTCAATTTGTTTTTACGCGGTTTTGCTTAGCTCAATTTCTGTGTTTGTTTCAATTAAGCCATAAATTAACTTTTTATCACCTTCTGCGGAGTTTATTCTCTTTTGCGCATACTATATGTATGGGATATCGGGATTATCAGTTTTTTTCAGCAGCTTGTCTGTTATCGATTTCGCGAGAAATCTGTTGGCTCCATTTCGATTTTAGGTCGCCAAGGGCAAATTCGGTAACGCTAGCCGAGAAAAAGTGAAGTTTGGAAATACGTTTTGAAGCTTTCAATAGACAATTAAGTATTTTATAAAAGGAATGCTGCTTTCAGAAGAATGTTATTAAATTTTAATATTGCATTCTTAAGAGATAACATTCACCAAGTTTTAGCGATCCAACCCCCCTCCCCCCCAAAAAAAAGCTGTTGTTGATAGTGATGCATTATTTTTGCTAATGGTGAGTGATGCAATTATTAGTTGAAAACTAACTAAAAATTTTTTTATATTTTTAAAGCTGAAAAACACTAAAGTTGAAACTAATTTTTCCTGAATTAACTACACAAATAACTTTTATGAATTACTAAAATATACATTCATATTATATATTATATATATATTTATAAGTACAAGTTCCAGGCCTGGACTCGTCGGACTTTCGCGATCTCAGATAGATTTTTCCGGATATTAGATCATTTTAATCTACTAAGATGGCAGTAGAAATTAAACAATTGAAAATATGAAATCGTGATTTATGAAAAATGAAGCATTTATGATTTAAAGGGTATCAAAATTACAAAGAAAGGAGCTTAATATTTCTATGTTTCTTTATTAACATTTCTTTCAATTGCATTGTTTGATTGTTTTCTCAGCTAATACTTTAGACTAATACTATAACATATAATTTCTTGTTTCAGTTTTAATTCATTGTCAAGTCCTGTAACTGCTGTGTCGAAATCGATAACTTGTCAATCAAAATTTTTTTCTCGTTCAGTAACCTGTCTTTACTTTTTACTATCGGTACTGTATTTTCTGGATTTAGACCATACTACAGATTTCGCCCTCCGTCATTGATTGATGATTGGCATTGTCATCGCAATAAAAACTTCTGTTTAACTTCGCTAAATCTGCCGCTGGGCGGCCATGCGAGTTCTGCGCTGGTCTAGCTTTATGTGAATAACAAACCAGTTATCTTAATTCAAAACAAAATATAATCTTGTCCTATGTATCATTAACAATCTATTTTAGCATAAGGAAAGAAATTTCTGCTAAATCTCCCCCTTGTCAACATTTTAGCGCATTAACTTAAATCTGTAATCGGATAATACTCTGTTATTTGTCGCGCATATTCATCACTCATTGTCATCCGTTGATAAACATGCGGTTGAAGCAAAGTACAATAAATACTGATTCGCGATTTTCGGCATCAAGGATATAAAATAGTTTGGTGTAAAATTACAAATGTTTCGATTTGAGATTATGCCAAGCAGATACCAGCTATGGAGTCCAGTTACTAATCACACAAATTTATGCTAAAAAATTATTTCTTCAATAATGAGATTATTTTATTTAGTGCCAAACTGAGTTAGAATCGGATGTTTTTTATGATGAGGAAAAAAATCTAATGCCGTGCGTAAAGCATACCCCTTCCCTTCAAAAACCCTAAAAAATTTGGTGGGTGGTGGCTTTGAGGTCCAGATTTGAGTCATTCCAGATATTGGATGTCCGGTCTCGGCTTTGTACTGTATATATATATATCTTTAATTCTTACTTAATTAAACTTAGGAGATATATAATCAATTAATCAATATTGTTTAGGAAATAAATTATATATATATATATATAGTAAAAAAAAATTTTTCACTATTCAATATTCACTGTGACAAGTATTCTTAACTTGTCCACATGAACAGCCTCTGTGGAAGACTCTCTGTAAATAAAGCAATTGAAATTGAAATTTAAGTGACCTAATACATTTTCAACGCACAGTATTTGATTACATAAAATTTTCTGGGGGTGTTCTTAATAATCGAAATTAATAAAGAAAGAGATCATAACAGCTCTTGCAGAAAGAGTTTCAATTTAGAGAAGTTCTATTTAGAAAACAAAACTTTACTAAATCGAATTCAAAGAAAAGAAATTATTAGTAAAAATTGATATATGAGGCAAAAGAAAAAATTTCTTCAAAGGGCATAAGCAAATGAACTTAGAGAATATTAAAGAACCGGAAAAGCATAAATAAATTAATTTTAAATAGCGAAAGATTTCAGATTAAAACAGCACAAATTTTTGTATCTTTATTGCACAGTTTATTATTTTATATCTTTCAAAAAACCGGAATAACTTGTATTTTTCAATCAGTTATTTTAATCTGCAAATATTATTACATTGTGATTATAATATCAGTTGACTGTGTTTAAATAAATCAATAATTTAATAATAATCATGTAAATCTCTAAAATAGTGACTGTTTGAGTGTAAATACTTATACATGTTTTTCAGAAATTATGTTCCTATTTAATGTTATTACTTCCTACTTGTAGGAGTAGTTTAATTTTCAAATTGTTTTTGTAAGTATTAAATTAATTTAATTATAGTTCATCATACACCCTCTGTTAGTTTCTTAAGTGAAATACAGCATGAGCGTTTTATGATATTGCTTTATTCTATTCATTTTTTTGTTTGCTGATAGTTCCTAAGTTTTTCTTTGATGGTCCTTAAAAGTCCTTAATTTTCATGTAAGGAAATGTGTACGAATCCTGTAAGAGTATTTTACATACATTTTATTATATAAATGAAAATGCCTAATCTGTTGCTTCTGAAAATGTACTGTTGCTTCTGAAACAAAAACATATTTTGGATACAAAGTTAGAAACTCTCTTTGGGTTCCTCATACATGATGAACAGAGACTTAAAACTTTGAAAACAAAGTTGAAAGTTAACCTCATGGCTATAATTAGGGGATCACCCGGCACATGATGGGAAAGTTATAAATTCTGACTACAGGCAGCAAAAGCTTCTACCATTTTTTCAAACATAAAGGGACCTGACTTTCTTCCATGACATTCGAGGTCTTTTTGGATTGATAAATATATCACATAAGATTGGAGATTTTTTTGTCAATTGTTTCAAAGTTCTCTCTAAAACCAATTTTATTTCACAACAGTAATACTCTTCCCTCAGTACCTGTAACCTGTGACTGTCCTGAGGAAATGTATGAAAACATGAAAGGAATTCTTTGGTACCTAGAATACAAAAGATCTGGGTGGCAAATTTGTTGCAACTTTAAGGTTATTGCAATTTTGCTTAGGTTTGCAAAAAGGTTGCACAAAGTTATAGTACGTACTTACTGTGTAAGTGAGACAGGTGTGCCAGGGAGGATTTACATTTCAAAAAGAAGAAATGGCCGCCACCTACATCTTTCACATGAAAAGTGTTACTTCACAACCTGTTGTAGATATTGGAACTGCTAGATCTAGTATCTTCAGTACCCCTCCACCACACTTCATGTCAGATTAGTGTTGATATAGAATTTTATAAAGGCATTGCAGAAACATGATCTGGTATGTGCATACTTATACAGCAAATTTCTATTCTAAGTTTAGATAAAATAAAAGAAGACATGTTTATTACATCTCATAATTTGATTTATGACATGAGTATCTTTCAACAGAAATGTCGTGGATGTAAGCAAACATTTCAGCGAGCATATCAGAGTTTTCTGCGGGACAGAAGAGCAAAGAATTATGAAAAAATAGTGCAGAATTTGGCAGCATTTGCATGTGCCGAATGTCCTGGAAAATCCATGTCATCCATCATTACAGTAGAACTCCAATTATCCGAATCAATTGGGACCGGACCCATCAGATATCAAAATTGATAATTGGATTTGTTCGGAAAGGTCTGCACATTATACTTAGTATCTGTACTTATTTGAAAATGAGAGAAAAAAACTATTTTTAAAGAAAAAGAGGTTTTAATGAATTTAAACGAAAAGGCAACACTTTTATATGAACATGTTATGTAGCATGCTGTATGGTATTTATGAGTGGTGCTGAAAGTTATTGATTGCTGAAAATCTTGGTCAATATAAACTGTTTGACTGTCTTCATCCATTTTCGGAAAGCCAAATCGCGTATTAGTTTGACAATGAGAAATTGTATGTGATCACACACGGGCTGACGCTCCTTCCACTTCAACACAGTTTCAAGGCTGGCAAACTCTTCACTAGCTGATGGCCCATATTTGCTTCAACTTTGACATTTAAGGTCATCTTTTCTCACACTTTAAATAAGTTCATCATCATTTAGAATTTGAAGCCCAGGATCTTAAGAATCAGATGCCATCCATTCTGCTGTATCCTCAGCTCTAACTTCTGAACATCCAGGAATTTTTAAAAGAATGTTTCTTAATTCCTCAAGTGATACATTATCCTTTTCTTCTCCTGTCTCTTCCCTTTCCTTTTCTTAAGCTTCTTTTCCCTTTTTCTCCTTTCCTTCTCTTCTTGAGTTGATTCTGAAAGTGATTTGGATAATCAGCGATTCGGATAGTCAATACAAATTGCAACACTGAAAAAAGGAAGCAAAGGGATGTTGAGTGCAGCGATGTTAGCCAATTTTGCTAAATGAATGATGTTTTAGGAGCGATGAGCCACAAATTAGCTGCATATAACAAGCAAAAATGATTCAGATATTTTATAGTATAGTAGATAGTAATTTTAAAAAAAAAAAAAAAAAAAAAAAAAAAAAAAAAAAAAAAAACTCAAAACTTCATGTTTGTGTCACATAATTCATATCAGAGGTTGTAATGAAATTCTAATAATTCGTCATTAATAATATATTTTCTTTTTGGTATATTTTCAGAAATCTGATTAAAATATTATATTTCTTTAGATCATCAACATCAGACTTACCACCTGCTGATGATATAACACAAGAAGGTTCTGGTCCAACTCCATTTTGGGAAGTATTTTCAGTACGATTTTTAGGATCAATGCAAGTACCAAAAGACAGAGGTATTTATGAATGTTTCATTAAATGATTTAAAAATATTAATTTGTTATTAAAATGATAAATTAAATTATTAATGAAAAATAATGAAGTATGAATTATTTAAAAATTTTTGATATATTCTATTAGGTGATTATCTTGTCTATCAAACCATTCGCCATATTATGGCTGCTAGAGCTATTCATAATATTTTTAAAACAAATGAATCTCATCTAGTTATAACACATAGGACCCTTAAGTAAGTAAATTTCTCTCATTCTGTATCTTTTTTTTTTTTTTTTTTTTTTTTCCCGAAAAATTTGCAATTTTGATATTCCAATGTTCAATAACATTTTAAAGTATTAATGTATAATGATTCATGAGTGTGACTTTTGCTAATTCGACAAGAATTAAATATATATTTTTAGACCACCTACATCATAATGCATGTTTGATGCAGCCACACACTGTATAACCTGCTACATTATTGTTGTAAGGTCATCTTGATCTTACAACGATATCAGGTATTCTTCTAAATGTCAAGGATTACTCCATTAGAAAAAGTTGCATATCAACATGGAATGGAGAAATTATTCTACTTATGTATTTATTAGTGAAAAATAAGTTGTGTGTTTGAGTAAAAAAATATTTAAGTACATAACAAATCAGATACAACAAACAGATTACAAACAAATCGGGTACATGTCTGCATGACTAGTAAAACTGTGCGTAATATGCAATTGACATATAGCTGATGGTAAATTTGTACCATGCTGCTCTGCAACTTAATGCTTTATTTCTTTAGAATGTAGCACTTTTTTATGATAATTTGATTTGTTTTTGTTCTTCGGAATATTTTTCTGATGCTTTGTTAGTCACTTTTCATGTGTGAGTAATAATCATATGTTGTACAAAACCCCAATGCATCATGGTGCATTATAATTGGAAAGCACTAAACATGCTTATCCATGCTTAAATTAATTTTTAATGTTTATTTTTCTAAAATTAACTTGGAAATATTTTTAATTCTTTATAATAGAAAGAACTCATAAAAGAAGAATAACCATCAAGGGCTTACAGTTTGACATTTTATATTACAAGTTATACAGGGTGTTTATAAAGTCCCTATGCATTTTTGAGAAATATGTTCTAATTTCAATTTTTTTGGAGATAATCTGAAAGAATGCTATCGACAGAGGAAAGAATAGCCATTGTTTATGCCCGTACACATGGAATTAATGTATCAGCAGATGCAGGTGTACTTCACCCACAAATTCAGAAAATAAGCCCCTACCAGAGCATTTACTAAAACCTTAGTAAATGAATTCAAGTGAACTGGTATTGTTAAAGATAAAGACTATTTTGAAAGACGTTCGATAATGCCTCAAGTTGAACAATGTGTACAAGAAGCGATTATACCCCCAGACATCTACACGAAGACTCAACCAGAATCTCGGTATTTTGCATACTACTGTTTGGAAAACTTTATGTCATAATTTAATCAAGGATTCCTACCACATTCAAACTGTACATCAGCTTTAAGCTCATGTCTATGCAGCTCAGCAAGCCATGTGGTATGATTTGTTGGAAGCTGTGGATAATAAGAATTAGCAATGAAGCCACGTTCCATCTCAGTGGCCATATTAATAGGCATAATTACTGAATGAGAGCTGATGAACAGCCAAATGTATTATACAAATCTCATGGAGACACTCTCTGAGACACACAAGTTGATGTATGGATTGGAATAACTAAGCTGTGTGGAGCTTTCGTGTTTGCAGAAAGAATTATCACTAGAGAAATTTATTTTGGCATGTTGCAATAAAATTTTGAGCCACAGCTAATATCAGATGGCATTATTGACACTGTTGTCTACCAACAGGATGGGGCACCTCCCCATTTTGCCATTATTGTGCATAATTATCTTAATGAAAATTTTCCTTTCTGATAAGTGGATTGGTTGAGGCTTTCAATGGCTTTGGGATCCATAATCACCGGAATTAACTCCCCTAGACTTTTTCATATGGGGTTTTGTCAAGTCCGAAGTGTACCAACTGAAGACTGGCAGTGTTGAACAATTAAAACAGTGAATGATGGCTGCAGCAGCTAAAATTACAGCAATAACTTTACGTAAAGTGTTCCGGAGTGTAGTGGAATGGTGACAATTGTGCCCAGACACTCAGGGTGGCCACATTGAATTGTAATAATATATTTAAGAATAAAACCTAAGCAAAAATGTATAGAGACTTTATAAACACCCTGTGTATATAGATTTTTTAAACATCAAAAGATTTTTTAAACTCTTTTGATGAAAAGTGTCAAAACGCCATGAAGGCAGGTTCATTTCTAACGAAATAAACTATATTTGATGTACATATAAGGTAACCAAAAAAGTTCTTGTTGTTCTCATGTAACAGGAAAGTGATGGAGAGTTAGAGTAATTATTAACTTTCATGAATACAGGCACATCGTGCACACATAGCTGGTTCAGTATCCAAGAGATATGTTAGTTGGTTTATTTTAATTACAGCAAAGCACACGGGAACTATCTGCCTATGGGGGAGGGATGCCTTTGTGAAGGGCTTTTTAAGGGAAACTGTCTTGTATACACATTACACATGAGAAAAGCCATGAAAACGCCCATGCAGCCAGCCCATTTGCTAGAATTCTAACCGCAGACTGAACTACCAGTATTTAGTGACTTTACCACTTGTCTGCTGGTTGGCCCAGTATCAAAAACTAATGGAGGTACTGAAGCAGCTCATTCTCAGCTGTTTGTGTATGGCTTTAAAATGGACCATTCAGTAGCCATATCAAGTCAACGAATACATCAGACATTTGGGGAGGATGCTGTGAAAGAATGCACTGCTGTGTCAGACTTCGATTTTAGAAGTTCAGGCTAGGAGGTCTGAGCCTTTTTGATGAACCTTGAAATCGGCAACTACAGGTGTTGGATGACAATGCCCTGAAGGTAGCTATAGATGGGGACAGCAGTCAAGCACATGGTGGGCTTGCTAAACACTTTCAGGTTTCCAAAAAAACAGCCAGACTTTATCTGCACTGCTTATGAAAGATGTAGCAGTTGAGCCCACATATTGTCAACATACAACTAGGAACAAAGAGAGATGGCTTGTTTGTCGTTTCTGTGTTTGCAGTATAATACATCCATATTTAGTCAAATGCTTATAATTGGTATGATGCTCCCAAGCAAGCCAAACTTGCTTGTCACCTCATTATGTTGTGCCTCACATCTCAAGACCACCTCTGAACCCATACAAGATAGTACTATTTGTCTGGTGGATTAGTCACTGAGTAGTATGTTACAAGCTACTGCTTTTTTTTTTTTTTTTTTTTTTGATGGACTACTCACCAAGTAGTGCATTATAAACTATTACTACCAGATCACATCATCACTGCTGATCTGTACTCATGGCAGTTGCAAAGGTTGCAACGTGCATGATAGCAGCAGGAGTCAGCATTGGTTAATTGTGGGGCTGTACTGTGCCTCTGTGACAGTATAATACCATATATAGTGAGGACAACCAGGGATTTCATCCAATGACTTGGCTGGGAGACACTATTCCTCCACCATACTCGCTAGACCAAGTGTTCGCAGATTATTACCTATTCCATTCCCGGACCTCCATGAGAAATCCTCTAACAATGAAACAGACCTGCAAAATGCACGCTTAGACTTCTTTGCATCCATAACCTTCTAGTTTTATCATTGCACAGCTGCATTGACATTGGCAAAAGGTACCGGATTTTGGCGGAAATTACTTCAATTCATAACACTGAGTAACATGCATTATATGTGTTTGTGCTGGTTACAAATGGCAAGAACCTTTTTGGTTGCCTCATATGGAGGTAAAAAAATAATTACAGTTAGAGCAGCATAATACTAACTTTTATCAGACATCGATAATGTACTTAATACAGATCAATGAGTTGTAAGACATCTCCTTCCTGCATGCAGTCTTGAAGCTAGCATTAAATAAAGCAGGGAGGCATCGAGAGCTCTAATTCTGTTCTGCCAAACATTTTGTTAGGCATTCTGCAATGTGTCATTGGTCATATACTCTCTACCAGTTGTGTTTGTCCAGCATATCCTAAACAGGCTAAGTTAGTGAGAGATCTCTGAAGATCTTAATGACCAAGGAAGGAATTGCAGAGTATGGAGGCATTGCCACATAAGGTTAAATGTATTGCGTCAATTCAATAGACAATATTAATCAATGCGTAAAGCATTCCAACAGTAGGTAAGCAAAATAGCACTTACCTGAATCACCTGGTTCTTCATTCAGGTATAAGAGATAAAAAACTATGCATCCATTTCCTAAGGCCTTCATTAACAAACTAAACTAAAAATAGAACACTGATTACCTCATAAATCGTTGAGCGCAGTAAAACTTATGTAATCAGTTCCAATCGTTATGCGTGTGCATAGGCGGAAGTATCACATATCCCAAATCCTCCCACCTTTGAGATTCGAACCAGGAAATCTCAAACCCTAATTCTAGGTTTAATTAATTGTCCATATTTGTATCTTTATTCAGGAACAGTTTTTGGGAAAAAATCATTAACAGTTCGTTGCTTAGAAGGAGTTATCTGTTGAGCTAGTACTGGGTTGTCAGAAGCGGTCTCTGAAAGACGATTTTCATCAGTCTTCGGTTCATTGAAAATAGAATCCTGTTCTGCCCCAGGTATAACGGGGTCACTTTTATCAGTCACTTCAAGAGATATAAACCTAAGCACTGGGCAGAGAAATTCTCTGTTTTTCATTTTTATTTATACTAGGCAAACTTGTCCATCTTTAGAAGGATAGAGTTCGACCACCCTAGCCAGGGGCCATTCAATTTTCTTGACGTTATCACTAAAAACCAGAGCAATATCACCAATTCGGATGGGTTTCTGATTTTTATGAGATTTTGATGATTGGCATAAATTCCCTAAATATTCAGTATGGCACCGTTTTCTTAAATCTTGTTTCACACATTGACGGTAAACATGTCTTTTATTTAACGACGACGAATCCAGAACATCAAGATCTGGAATTCCTGTTTCTTTAGGATCATGAAAAACAAAGAAGGAATAATTGGAGTTAAATCATCAACATCTTCCAAAATATAGGTTATAGGTCTCTGATTAATCACACCTTCAATGTCACATGGTCAATGTCAATGGTGTTCATTTCTTCTAAATTAATTGAGCTTCTACCTCGATATTCCTTTGATTATACCTATCAGACGTTCCCACCAC